CGCCGCCCCACGCAGAACCTTGGTTTGCTGTCTGCATTCTCCCAGTCTTGAATTCCTCATTCACCACAGTCCTGACCTCACCCACCTCTTCTGTCTAGGAACACCTCAAGGGCCCAAGACTGGGGGTCTGTGATCACAAACTGGCTGATGCCCTCATGCTCTGAGCCATGCCAAAGTGCTTCTTCTTAGGACCTTTCCAACACATCACTGCCCCTGAGCCAGGAAACCCAGGAGCTGAGGGGTCCCTCTGTGCCCAGTGGCACTCATAAAGTTCTCCTGGATTTGCTCAACCTGTAAAGGAGGGAAGACTCTGCCAGACACTTAAGGTGGGCAGGACGTTGCCTGCATGAGCACGGAGTGCCCAGTGCTGGGCGACCTGTTCGGCCCTGCTACTCAGTCCTCACAAAAATCCGACGGCGCTAACTGCAGGGCGCAGTTCTTGGAGGCGGCAGCAGAGAGCGCCAAAAGCCTGGGTTTGGGTCCTGTATCTCCCACCGGGAGGCAGGGGGACGGAAAAGGGGCCTCAGCACAGCGACAGCAGGGTGATGGGACCCTGGGCCTCCTCCAGGGCCAGAGTCTCGCCTCCTAGGGAGAAGAAGGCCTGGAGGGGGTTTCAAGGTGGATTTGGAGGGAGGGAGGGAGGAAGGCTCCCATCAGCCGCATGTCCCATGCGGGGCCCCTGCCTGCTGGCCCTGGGAGGCTGGGGGGCGGGTTCTTTCCAAGCGGCACAACAGGGTCCTCAGAGCCTTGCCTGTCACCCTTCTCTCCTTCTTATCTCATTTTCTATTTTCGTCCCAAATCCGGACCTGGAGTGGGGTGGGGGTGGGGTAAATCTAGAAGAAAAAAATAAACTCCAAAGACGTGGAGGGGGTGAAAAGGAGGATGGAGGAAAGGCTTTGGAGAGACAGAGTGACCTGGGGGTCCAAGAACAAACGGGGAGCAAATAAGGAGCCCCGCTTTCCTTTCCCAGACCCGCGGTCCTGAGCGGTGGGAACCGGGAGGAGCTCTCGGATCGAGAGGGGCCACTCGCAACGAGTGGGATGGGTTCTGGGCCGCAAGGGGGAAGGACCGCGGTGGCGGGACTCCGCAACCAAGGCCCAGGGAAGGGATCTGCACCGGAGTGCCGCGTCCCAAACAGAGCATCCTGAGGATTCCGCCATCCGGGGGGTCCAGAGACGTCCCGCGGTGTCCCGGAACCGTGGGTCCAGGGCTCTAGGTCCCTGAGACCCTGGGCCCTTGCCTCCGGTTCCCGTGTTCTGGGAGCATCTGGAGTCCAAGGGCCCAGGTCCCGCGAACTCTGGGGCCTCCGTCATCCGGACTCCTGGGCATCCCCGGGGCTCCTGCATCCGAGGTCTAGAAGTCCGTTCCCGTGCGCCCCCGGGACCCCAGGTCCCCACATCCCAGGATCGCCCCAGGGCCTCCCTGATCGGCACCCCTGCTCCCCGCACGTCCTGACTTCCACCGTCGCGCGTACCGGGGCGCCGAGGGGCGCGCGTGCCTCCAGCCGCAGCAGGCTGAGCACCGGGGTCTCGGTGGCAGCCGCCAGGAAGTGCAGCTGCAGCAGCTCGGGCCGTGCCTCGGGGAAGGCGAGCACGGCAACCACGCCCGGCGCCGCCAGCGTTTGGCACAGGCCACGGGCCAGCGAGGCGGGGTCGCGGGCGGGGGGCGCGGTCGCCACCAGCTCCAAGCTCAGGTTGTGCGGTAGCCGCGGCGCCAGGACAGCCCGGGCCAGGGCGGCGCGGACGCGGGCGCGGGCGGCGGGCGCGCGGGGCAGGAGGGCGCCCAGGCGTACGGAGCCCCCTAGGCGCGCCAGGACGCCGCAGGGCTGCGGGTGGCCTCCGGCGGGCAGGGGCCCCGGCGCCAACGCCAGCGCCAGGCCGAGCCACAGTGCCCGCACAAACTCCATCCCAAAGTTACCGGCAGGTGCCGTGTCGCGGAACCGCTGGTGCCACGCGCGGGAGGCGGGATCCCGGCCGCCCCAAGCCACGCCCTTCCCGCCTTCCCGGGTGTGCACATCCCTCCCTGCCTGGCCCCACCGTCCTGGCGCCCGCCCTGGCCTCTGACCCCCCGCTCCCCCATGCCAGCGACCTACTAGGGAAGAGTGGGACCCACTCCTCAGGACGGGAAACAGAGGCTCCAATGGCCACAGTGCACAGGGACTGGACATAACCACTGCTCTTTCCCTTTCTGTGCCAGGGAGGAAACTGAGGCTTGACACCAGGGAGAGATTTTGGTCAAACACTGTCGCTACACTCACTCCCGTTCCACTCCAGGATCCCCTCTCCAGCCTGGGAATGTGGTCCATTGTTCAGTCAGCGAAACTGAAGCCCAGAAGAGTCAGGATTTGCCTCCACGGTCACAGAGCAGCACCTCCCACCTCCATCGGAGTGTGTCCTAACAGCGTGGGCACCCTGGGGAAACTGAGGCAGGTGTGTCCGGTGGGAATATGAATAGATCTCTGTCCTCTAGCTGTGGGCAAGCAACTTAGAGAATTCCCCTGCACCTTTCAAGACCCAGTGCCAAATGCCACTGCCTTAAAAAATGTTCCCTGCTTGTCACCCAGAGAAATGCAGAACACCCCCACCTCATTTAAGCTCACTCTGCCCACCTTAACCATTGTACGCTGCCATCTCATTGCTTGAGTAATTGCTCAGGCAAGGACATTTGGTTACATCACTGTCCACTGCTCCAGCACTTTCTGTAGCTCCCTGCCACCTTCCAATTCCCAAGCCTTCCTGTCATCTCTGGGCCTCCCCACCTCAAATGACCCACGGTGACTGTGGTCCTGGCACACGCTTAATAAGCGATGGCCGAATCGGGGCCAGCAGCATCCGGCACAGCTCTTATCCTATACTCCCCAGGGAGGCTGTGGGTAGAAGACTGAGAAAATGGGGGTGTCTCCCAGACCCCTCCAGGTGCGGGGCAATCTCCTGACATGGACCATTCCAGCTTTAAAGAATAAATTCACACTTGGTTGATTTTTCTCATACCAAAACAAACCCTTGGAAGCCAGTGTTAGAAGGGCAGAAAAATGTGCCAACCATTAATAAGGACTGAAACGACTGTAATGAGGGCCGAGTTCCAGGTGGCAATGAGGCTACTGCATCCAGTCACTGGCTAGGCATCTTAGGACAAGGAGAATCCCCAGGGGTCCTGGATTCTGGTCCCCTCCCTGCCGGAGACCACAGCCATGCCGGGAGCACCCCCACTGCACTGATCCTGGGTGAGGCTCCCAGTTATGTCCACTGGGCCTCCTCCCACACCGGGTTTCAGTCCCTCTGACAGCATGAGCCTCAGCAGCAGAAACCCATCCTGCGGGCAGGAGGCGCTTTCACCAGTCAGGTCCCCAGTGGACACTTGATCAACAGACACCTTTTGTGACTGCCCTGAGTCACCAAGCATGTCCTCAAGGTTTGTCTATGTTGCAGCAGGTGTCAGAATGTCTTTTAAATCCTCACCTGAGGATGGATGGAGATATATATCTATTTAAAATATAGATATACATATTTATATTTTAAATCTTTAGAGAGAGGGGAAAGTAGGGAGAGAGGGAGAAGAGCATCAATGTGTGAGAGATACATCAGTGGCCTCTCACACACCCCCAACTGGGGACCTGCCCCGCAACCCCAGCACGTGCCCTGACTAGGAGTGAACAGGCAAGCTTTCTGTTTGCAGGACACCCGACCCACTGAGCCACACCAGTCAGGGCAGATATATTTGACTTTATTTTACTGGGATATGTTTGATTTTAGAGAAAGGAACATTGATGTGAGAAAAATCAATTGGCTGCCTCCCACACAGGCCCCAACTGCAGATAGAACTTGCAACTAGGTGTGCCTCCCAACCAGGAATCAAACCCTTAACCTTTCGTGTAAGGGATGCTGCTCCACTGACACCCCGCAGGGTACCGTGTCCTTCCTCTTGAAGTCTGAATAATCAGGAGTCTTCCATCCTGGAGCGTTTATCCATCCATCTGTTGGACATGGGCTGCTCCCACCTTTGGGCCACTGTGACCACGGGTGTACAAATCTTGAATCCCTGCTTTCAGTTCTTTTGGGTGTCCATCCACCTGGAAGTGGGACTGCTGGGTCATATGGTGACTCTTTTATTTTTTGAGGAACCACTAGACTATTTGCCACAGCGGCTCCATCCCGTGTAAAAATGGTTGTTTCTCCACCTACTCGTCAGTACTTGCTTTTTAAAAAATAAATAAATTAAAAAAAAAAAAAAAAAAAAGGTCTTGGAGGGTGCAAGGTGGTATGTCACCGTGGTTTACATAAACTGCCAGCCCGCTGAAGTCACCACTGAATACTGGATGCTGTCAGCATGTCCCTTCTGGCAATGATGGCCTAGGATTTGGGGTCAAATTGTGCTGCTAAGAAACAGTGTACAGTAATTCTTACAGGCCAGATGGTAAGAGCACCATTTACTATGTGCCACACACCTGTCACACTAGCTGGGCACAAACTCCCTGAGGTTCCTTGCAGACTCTGCAAGCCCAGGAGAGGAATAACCCTTTAACAGATGAGGAAACCACTGGAGGCAGGCACAGCCTGTCCAAGGCCATGTGGTGATTCCAGGCCTGATGGAAAGAGGTCAGCTCTGCCCTCACCACCTGTGTTGTCTGAAAGATGTGACAGGCTGGCGAACCGCCTTCCTCTCAGCCCCCTCATGGCATCCTGCAGAGGGGCAACCTTCCAGGACTGCTCTGGACAGGTGGCATAGGCAGAGTTGTTACAAAGGCCGTTTGCACACCGACGTTCCCCGTCCCGGGGTGTGAGAAGCTACAGGGTGAGCAGGCACCGCGACCCCTGAAACCTAAGTCAGAACACGGGGCAGCCCCAGGGGGTGGAGACCCCACCTTCTCTGCCCAGGGTGCCCCAGCAGTTGAAGGTTCAGTACAGTGTTGGGGGGTGCTCTGGCCCGGGAAATATGTGCAGGGTGAGGGGCAGTGGCAACAGCCCCCCAACTCAGGGAAAAATCTAGGCCCAAGGGAGGCTGCCAGCCAGAGGCTGGTACTGTCAGCACCTCTCATGGCAACCTGCCGGCTCTGTCTGGGACTGACCAGACGCGGACGTGGGCAGCAGTACCAAGATCAGAACCAGCCCGAGGTCTCCTACAGAGCGAACAGCAGAGGGCGCAGAGGGCTGGCGGGTAATGCGGACAGGCTGGGGTGGCCTGCTGAGGATTAGGACCCATAGGGTCTCAGGCCCTGGCAGATGAGGCACCTCGGGAAGCCTGAACCCATCTTGAAGGCATCTTCCGTCTCCTGAAACCTCCGTATAACAAGTTCCATGATCCCAGTTTTGCTGCCTGGCTGCTACAGACCCCACTATGTGTGTGAGGGGGACGATGATGTAGTCCTTACCAATCAGTTAGCCCCCCTACCTGGCCAAAACAGGACAGTCCCAAGTATCATCCTGTCCAAGATCCCCGGGCAGGGGAAAAGCGGAAGGCGAGGGCCGTAGGGGTGGGTGGAGGGTGTGCCCAGTCCTGTCCCCGGGAATCCTGCTGCAGTGTGTGGCTGGGTCACTTGCTTGCGAGGACAGAGAGCTCCAGGGACAGAGAACTCCAATTAGCCTAAAAGCATGAACTCAGTGCTGGCTGCTGGCTCACAGCTTCAGCTATGATGACACCTGATAAATTATGTGGGTTTTCAGTATCATTAGGCAGGACTGCCAGTGGGGGGTAGCTTTCTGGAAGGTTGAGGGCAGCCTTGGGGCCCACATTTCTGGGCTGGTCTCCAGGTGCTGACTGGATTGGCAGTGTCCCCAAGGCAGTGGGGACACCTGGCGTGCCTTGGGCCCTTGACACCGACAAAAATGTTCTGGTCAAGTGGCCCTGGGTACCTGTCCCTCCAGGGGACCCTGGCCCGGAACTGGCTGCTACTTCAAAGCCCTTGCCTTGACTAAGGTTGCGGGGACCCTTGGTGCCCATTAGACTGTGACCAGTGTGACCACACTGCTCTCCCTAAAGCACAGCCACCTGTGGTAACCTCGGCCTGCAGCTGAGGCTTCCTCCCCCAGTCCCCTCCCACAGAGGGTTTTGCAGAGACACTGGGGTGACAAATGAGTATCAGAAAAATCTGAGAAACACAGCTTCTCAACACTAGATTTTTAAGTTAGACCTGATGCCCTGTGTCGAGGGTCCTAGAATCCAGCCTGGGACCTGGACTAGCCCTCAGCACACATGGAGGACTGAAGAGGACAGGTTTTTAGGTCTTTTGTTAAAAACAAAACAGCACCAACTGGACACAACAGACACCAGTTGGATGAACAGAGACAAAATGACTCCTCACATAGGTGACAATCCGAACAGAACCAGGGGAAGGCGAGCTTAGGACAGTGCGGCTGGTCCGGGGGCTTCGGCCCAGCAGCCCCAGGGAGGGCGGCCCTGTAGGCCTGTCCATGGGTGGTGGTCTGGGCCCCTGCACTCACTTGGCAGGCCGGGTGATTATGCGGGTGGAGAAGTCAAACAGGTCGCGATTGATCTTGCGCAGGTTCTGCACCTCATCTTCTAATTCCGTGATTCTGATTCGCAACTGATCCTGGCCACCCAGCACGTTCTGAGGAGGGGCGGGGCCTCAGGGTGGAGGGGCCTCTCACGTCCCAGAGGCAGCCTGATCTCCTCCCCAATTCACAGCACTACTCCACCCCCCCAACCCCCAGGGAGACTCACCCTCCCCAGCCTTGCCCTTCTCCACAGCCCCGCCTACCTTTTCCATAGTGCTGCACATGACCCTGTGCAGCTGCTCTGCTCGCTCCAGGTAGCTGGGCTCTGAGCCCTGCAAAAGAAGGGGCTGCTTCAGCAACCTCAGGACTCACCCGCGCTGTTCACATCACCCCTATGGTGAGGGAGGTGCCACCCTGACAGCTGCTCACAGATGGGGAAGACAGGTTCCAAGTGGTCTCTGGGCGCCCAGCTGGGGGTGAAGTGTCTGTGGGAGGCTGTACCTTCAACCCCACAGCCAGCAGGAAGCAACGTGACCAGTCTTCTCATATATGCTTCCTGCTGCAGGACTGTGCCCAACGAGGCACAGGGGATGGGGACACTCAAGGCCACACCACAAGCACGGGCCGGGAGCCAGGCTCTGGAGGACATGCAGGCTTTGGAGTAACCAGGGTCAAGAAGGCTCCAGAAGAGAACTGGCTGGCATGTGGGCAGAACCTGCCTGATCATCTAGACAGAAAGACACTGCTGCAGCAGAGTGTCCCTCCCCCTGCCCTGCCGCCAGATGCAGGTTAAGCACGCTGTCCTTGGCTGGCAGACAGGCCCACGGCCCTGCCATCCATCATGGTGTCTGAGTGAAGGGCCTGCACCCTTGTGGGCTCATGTGATTCCAGGGCATGGAAATAGTGGGCAGAGGTGGAAGGAGCGCAGCCAGAGCGGCAATGCCAGGCTCTGCCAAGGAGAGGCACATGGGCGATCCCTGGAGGGTACAGGGAAGTGTGTTGCCTACTGCCGTGCTGGAGAAGGTGCTGGACACAGTGCCTTTGGTCACGCTTGTGTGCTTGTCTGAGAATGCACCCTGGTGTGTGGCCTGCTTCTACTATGGAAGGTGCTCTCTGAGATCAGGTGCTGGCCACCAGGCTGGGCTCAGCCATGTGGTCAGAGGAGCCTCCTCACTGAGGGCATGTGTGGAGGGCCCTCTAAGGGACTCTGGCCAGGACCCAGACCCAGAGGGAATACAAAGCCACGCTCTAGAGGTTGAGCCAGGGTGGGTCCTCCAGAGGCCCAAGGGCAGGTTACCTGTTGCAGCAAGTACCTGCTGGTGGAGGCCCAGGCGCAGCGTAAGGCCCCCACGGTGCTGCTCGTCCCCATGCTCAGCGCCTAGCAGGTGCTTGTTGAAGTGCGGCAAGGGCAGGCTGGGCCTGAAGTCGGAGCTCAGCATGCTGACTGGCGCCAGCATAATGAAGGCGTTGGTCACAGGGCCTGCAGCAGGGCAGGCGCTGGTCAGGAGCCACCGCAGCCAGGCCTGGGCCATGGCTCCCACCCGCCCCCCCCAAAACCTGCCCTCCTGCCCAGGAGTGGCCCACCTATTTTCCTCTCGCTGGTCCCACCTCCCAGCACCCAGCCAAGCAGCCGGGGCGCAGACAAATGGGCAAAGGCACACAACTTACAAACTCTTGGGTCTTTTGCCCCCAGGCCCACCTTTGAGGGTCACTGTCCTGATGCACTGCTTGCTCTGGATGTCCCAGAGGCGCACGGTCTCGTCATGTGAGCCAGAGAGCAGCACACTGCCATCAGTAGACACTGACAGGCAAGTCACCTGGTTCCTAGGGACACAGGTCTAAGAAAGGGTGGTGCAAATGATCCCGGAACCCAGGAGCAAGAGAACAGGGCCCTTTCCCAGCTACCAGTCTGGTCCCTGTACCTGTGGCCTTTGAACACCTTCCCACTGTCCTGTTCTGGCTGGAAGCTCTTCTCTCTCTGTCCAGGCTGTGGAAGCGGAAGGGCCAGTGAGCAGAGGGACACAACTGTGCCTCAGCCATGGGGGCCCCAGGGCACTGGGGGTGATGGGCAGGGGCAGAGCCGTCTTGGCTCAAGGAACTGGATCTGGGAGATGGACAGTTCCAGGGCCTTCGGAGGATGAACCCTCAGTATCCCACTGTCCCCTCAGTATCCCACTGTCCCCTAAGCCTCCAACCACAGGCCCAGGCACCCACCACTCACCCAGGTGCAGAGATCGACCTGGAAGATGGAGCCCTCACTGCCACCGCAGAACATGTGATGCTCAGCCAGGTCCATGGTCACAGCCATAATACCCACGTCAAAGAGGACAGAGAGCAGCAGCTCGCCTGAGGAGATCTCCCACAGCTAGGGGCAGGCAGGGTATAGGGTGGGGGCTCCACGTACACTGGGGTCCCAGTGGGGCAGGGGTGCTTGTCTGAGAGCCAGACAGCCCTGCCTGGGAGACCCCCGGACCCCACAGGACCTCGGGCAGAGCTATCACTCGGGGTTCTTAGGGCTGGGGCACTTGGGACGTCCCCTGGGACAGAGCTTGGTTCTCATGCCCAAGACCACTTCCACCCTGTTTTAGCTGCCGTCAGCCCTGGACTCTGCCCCCCCACATCACCAAGGACAAAGACCTGAGGGCCAGACACCCACAAATCCCTGAGGCTTGGCCAGGGAGCCATCAGGCATGGGTGGCCAAACAGGAATTTCTGAGCCAACATAGGCCTGGACCGTCTGCCTCTGGATGTCCTTGAGGCCAGAAGCACTGGGGGATTAAGAGCTGTCTGGAGCTTCCAGCCTGGGGGGAATCAGTGAACACTGATTCACTGACTCACATCATCCAAGAACCCACCAGCCACCCAAGCCCAACTCACAGATCCACTGGGGGAGGGCAGGTGGTCCGTCCTACCTTCACTGTCTGGTCTAGTGAGGCCGTGGCCACCCGGGCTAGGGGCCCCCCAAAGCCACAGTGCAGGTCTGTGATGGGAAGGGTGTGGCGGGACCAGACATGCCGGGGGGCTGGGGTCCTGGAGGAATCCACCTGCAGCACGCTGCAGGGGGAGTGGATTCAGGGGGAGGGCTGCACCTGATTCCCCCGCCCACCTCCATGTGGCCACTGGATCCATCCCACTGGCAGAAAATTCTCAGATGGCTCCCCTGGTTCCCAGACAAACCAATCACCCGTGTCCTCCTCACACAAGCCCACCCAACTTGCGGGTCCAGCCCCTTCCTGCTCCAGGACTTCGGCATGGCCTTCTGCAGAGCAGGATCCCTTGCCCTCTGTGCTGAGGCCTCACCTGGCTGAGGCTATAGACTGGGTGCAGGCCCGCAAAGGTCAGGGCGCTACCTGCACAGGCTCCACACCAGCACCAGGCAGTCCTTGCCACCCGAGAGGAAGTGGCTGCTATCCCCTGTGAACTGCAAGCAGGAGATGTCCTGGTAGTGGCGGCTCAGGATGACCAGGAGGTTCCCTGTGGAGACCTGGGGAAGGCGGAGCACACGTGAGTCAGGTCAGGAAATGAGGTACAGTGCCTGGCCCCCCAGCTGCCAGGTCATAAGAGTACACTGAAGACACAGTCTGCCCAGGCACAGGGAGACAGGTGGTATGACTGCAGCCCCCAGGGAAGGCATGGGTCAGAGTGGCAAGGCTGGTGAGGGAGTGGGTCCCTTCAGGAGCAGCTGGATCCACGACCAGCAACAGATGGCTCCTCATGGTGATTCTGTCACAATAGGAAGTCATGGCCTTCCAGACTGGCTATAAGGGGCTTTAAATGCAGCCATGCCACTTCGTATAGCAGGAGAGGCAAGGGGTAGGGGCACTCTTGCTATGAAACCTGGGGAAGGGAGACCCAAACCAGCAGAAAGCTGAGCAGGCTGGTCTACTGAAGAGGGAGGGGCCAGCTGGCAGGGAGATGTGAGCCCATAACATGACACCTGGGAAGGGCTGTGGCATGGGAGGAGAACACAGATGATATTGTGTGTTAAACTGTGTCCCCCAAATAAATATGCTCATGTCCTAATCCCTGGAGCCTGTGGCTTAAACATAAGAGCTTTGCAGGTGCAGTTAGTTCAGGTGAGATCAAATTAGGGTAGAGTGGCCCCAAATCTAACAAGAAGGAAACTTGGACAGACATACACTTGTTCACCCTGGAGCCCCACTCTAAGGATTTCCAGCCTCTCCCACCTACTCAGAGAGCAAGTGAGAAAGATCAACAGTGGCTACCGCAGTCGGGCTGGCTGTGCTCAAAGCCCTGAGCCTGGGCTCCTGCCTCTGTTGGCCTTGAGTGGCGCCCCCTTGTGGTCTAAGCTTTCTCCAACAGGAAAAGAAAGGGAGAGCCAGACAGCAATCACATCTACCAGGAGTACAACTGCACCCCATCGAGGTTGGGGGGGCGGCGGGGGGCGGGGCGGCCCTCAGATGCCCGCATCAGGCCGCAGGCCACGGGTTTCTACCACGCCCCCTGCACCAGGCTGACAACAATCAGGGCAAGGATTTCTACCATGATGGGCAATCTGAGAAGCCCTTCCCTGCCTCAATTTCCCATCCTATGCCTGAACAACTAACGGCTTCCTAGTTTCAGAATCAGGACTAAGATTTCAAACTCCCAGGATGAGATAATGAAGCCGTCTTCATCTCACAGAGGACTCAGTTCCCTTGCCAGACGTGTTTTGTGAGTCGAGATTAAGGTCAGGTAGGGCTGACATGGTTACACATACCTCCTGGACCCAAATCCTACACCATCTGTGCAGAAAGTGAGGTGAATCTCCCCTCAAATAACTGACTGGTGGTGACAATACTGTTGGTGGTGTAATTCAGTGGTCCACAGGCCAAGCTCTGTGGCCCTGGCTCTGACACTCACCTCCCACAGGTATATACTCTCTGCAATCCCTGCCAGCATGTACAGGCCATTGGGCGACGTGGTCAGACAGGTGACAGGTCCAGGGCACATGATCTTCTGCTGGAGCTGGTCCTAGAGGAACATAAGAAGCCCCTGAGCTTCACGCAGAACTCAGGAGCCAGGCAGCAGTGAGGAGAGTGGGTGGGAGCACCCAGGCACCTGGTAAATCCAAGAAAACCAGACAGCGTGGGAACAGGGGTGGTTTAAGCAAATTCACAGTGCAGCAAAGAAGTGTTTTCTCCAGCTCAGGCTTTGCAGGTTGGAGGTGGAGACATGCAAATCCTTGGATAAAAGCAGGATGGTGCGCCTCTGGGCATGGGGGTGGGGGTGGGGGTGGGGGTGGGTGAGGCACAGAGGGTCCAGGAGGGCTGTGGGGCTGGAGAGCCCAAAGGCCAGTGGGCTTGTTCCCCAATCTTGCTTCCTTAAGGTCCCACTTGCGACCCTCCGCCTGTTTCTAAATGTCTAATATGGGAAAACGTTAAGTTCTGTGTGGTCGGCACCAGGCAAAGCCAGAGCACAGAGCTTGCCATAAGAGATGTCAGCTGGCAGAAAGGGGCTGCAAGCAGCTGCAGGAACGGCATTTGGAGATGCTCAAGCGGAGACGCCATGGACTCTGATGAGGAATAGTGTATTTTTTTGAATACTAAAAGTCTCTTGGATTACTCTTCCAGGGGGCTCATCAGGCCTCAGACCTTCACCCTCCAAGCCTACGAGACTCACGGAACCCCAAATGCAAACTCTTCTTTTAAATTTCCCGCCTCTTCATGCATTGCTCCCGTTAGGGGTGCGCTACCTCCCCATTCCTTCATGTGCTCACACTCCCGGCCGGCTGCCCCAGAGACCCGCCTCCCCAAAACCCGCTCCAGGGCGCGAACATCTAAACTAAGACTTCTTCACCCCGGGTCAGAGCGTGTGCCACCCCCACTAACCCCAGTCTCGGGAGCCCCGCACACCCCCTAGTCTCGGGCGTGCGCCGCCGCACCTTCCGCTGTAGCTCCCAAGCGCTGATATAGTTCTTGCCCAGCTGCGCCGCCAGCAGGTACTCGCCATTGAGCAGCGCCAGACCATGGGGCCCAGCCTGGCCGCCGCGGTACGTGAGAAGATTAGCGCCCGAGTGCAGCTCCCACACGACGCAGCTCCACAGCGGGGCAGACGAATCAGTACACACGGCCACTTCCATGGGCGCCGCCATCTTACTCCCCCACCGCCCCGGAAATGCGTTGTCACCAGCGAGACGTGGGCTGCTGCGCTGCGCGGGATAGAGCGGCGCTAGATTGCCCCGCCCCCGGCGTGCACACCTACCTTGGAGAGCCGGGTCCTTCGTGAATTTAAGTGCCCCTTTTCCCCCGGCTCCGCTGAGCTTCGAGGGGCGAGTTGCCTGGTGTAAAATCTTGGAATGAGGCCCCTTGCAAAGCTATATAGAAAACAAATCAAGGCCCAGAATTTTCTGCGAGCAATTAGTAGCTTCAGACCCTGGAAATCTAGCTTAGCCATTTACGCTCGGCGCTTTTGGCCAAGTGACTCAAGCTCTCAGATCATTTTATTTTATTTCCTTATGCAAATAATAAAGTACAGACCTCACAGGCGTGAAATAGAGACTACATGCCTGACATAACATATCTAACTGGCACGCAATACGATGTAATTAAGTGCGTACTCAAGGATCCAACTTCAATCTCCCCCTGGACCCCTTTTGGTGGGCCACAAAATACACATTTTTATTTTATGAACTTGGTGCAGACCGAACTTCAGTTAGTCGGGAGCGCCTAACTGAAGGTCACAGCTGCTGTCCTGACCACGTCTAAAAACAATGTACTTTATTTATTTTTACTCACTGATTTTAGAGAGGGAAGGGGAGAGAGAAACATTGTTATTGCTTCACTTATTTATACATTCATTGGTTGCATCTTGTACGTGCCCTGAATGGGGTGGAGCCCTCAATCTGGGAGGGTGGGAACCGGCTCTAACCACTTGATCTATCAGTCGGGGGAAAACTGCACTTTAAAATGTGGAATTAGTTGCCAGCCTTTGAAAGGGGAGATATCACTTAAAAGTCGAAGTGTCCAGCCCAGGAGACTTGCCCGGCCGGGGCGGTGTGTCCACAAGCAACACCGGGAGACCCCGATGCAGGGTGTCTGCCGCAGGGTGCAGAGGACCGCCCCCAAGCCGCTGGAAGGGGAAGCCTAGAGCGTGAGGATCCGCATCCCTAGCCTCGGCCGCCAGGTGGCAGGCGGGAGCCACAGACAAGGAAGCGGAGTGTGGGGCCGCTCCCAGCCCTGGGGCCACAGAGCGGAGCAGTTGCAGGGATGGAGGATCTGGAGAACCGGCTTCCGGGAGGAGGTATCCTTTGAGCAGGGTACTAACAACAGCTTGAAGAGATAGGTGGACAGAAGTAGTGTCAAGGCCTTAAGGGGGCACTAGAGGGGGCACTGGGCCGGTGAGGACCTTGTGAGAGCGCGGAGCCTGGATTTTATTTTATCCTGGGGGAGGGAGGGCATGAGAAACTGAAGGGCTTTTTTAAATTGAGGAGAGCTAGGTCCCAACCCTCAGCACCTGCTAAATGGGGAAACTGAGCCAGGGACCACCCAGTCCATAGACAGATTGCAGCTAGAATCAGATGTTTCTGATTTCCACCAGAACCAGCGGATGCCCCCTGTGTTTCTCAAATGTTTTTAGTGTGAATAATAGAAATGAGACACCTTGAATGCTAATTTACACTTTTCAAACACCAAAACAAAAAAAAGTGGGTTTTTTTTTTTGAGAGAGAGGGGGAGAGAGTGAAACATTGATTTGTTGTTCCACTTATTTATGCATTCATTGGTTGACTCTTGTATGTGCCCTGACCAGAAATTGACCTGGCAGCCTTTGCATATTGGGACAACGCTCTAACCAACTGAGCTAGCCAGCCAGGGCTAAAAGAAACCTTTTAGGCTTTTTCCAAAACAAGTCTTTCTTTGAATGCTGAAGTCTGCCCCTCTGCAGAACCCGGGGTGGGCCAAGGTGACCCTTCTAAACAACAAGTCAGGGCTTGAAACTGGCACTTCTGAGCCCTGGGGCAAGTCACTACACAGCTTTGGGCCTGTTTCCCCGTGTACAAAGTGGGGTTCCCCAGAGCTATGGGGTCTGTGTCCTCATCCCGGGAAGTCTGGCCTGGAAGTTTCTTGAGTACTGGACATAGGGGTGGGCCCAGCAAGTGTGGTTTGCAGGGGACCAATTATGCCAATAGGGATAAGGGGCTCTGATGGTGGATGTGGATGTTCAGGCAGGAACAGGAACAGGCCCAGGCAGTGCCCCAGGGCAGGGCTGCTGGATTGCAGTCAGGCCCCCTCACAGGCCTCTCCCTCCCTCTTCCTCCCCTCCTCCCTTCCCTGGGGACCCAGTAGGCCAGGCTGCTGTCAGGTCAGAGGTCACCCCACCCCCAGCCCAGTTCCCGGAATGAGGACAGACCAGTTGTGTCAGAAGAGCAGGACAAAAGCCACACTTTAGGGGCCTCCAGACCACCCAGCGGCCAGACCTCCTTGGTGCCAGACAGGCGCTGCCTCCCAAATCCAAGGCTGGGAGGCCCTGGTGGCAGCTGGGTGGCAGCAGCAAGTAGGCTTGGGGAAACTGAGGCACAGAGACCTGCATAATCTCTCTGGGGGTAAACCCAGGGTTCTTGCGTTCTTTATTTCCTACGTGTTTACTGAGCACCTCCTGTTCGCAGGCACTGGTACACTCTGATGAGCCAAACCAGACCCCCCCTTTCTGGGACCCCAGCCACCTCTCACTCCCAGCCCACCCCAGGGAGGGGGGCCTTGAACAAACCCAGCAGCCACCACGGTGCGCACTAATGGCGTAAGGGACAGCAGATGACTCCACGACTCCAGGGGCCATCATCTTTTCCAGGCACCCTTTCAACCCCCCACCCTGCCCCCAGCCTCCTCGGTCTGCCTCTCCCTCCCACTAATCAGGCCTAGTTTTGAGTTTCACTCCTGGGAGTTTCCCTACCTCTTAACAAGCAGAGCAGGAGCCAGGAGGTGCTGCTGGCTTGGGGAGGTGGGGAGAGGTGGTGGGGTCTGGCCCCTCCCTGTGTGCCCCCAGGGGCTGTGTGACCTCAGGGCCCCCAGTCCCTCTCTGGGCCTCTTCAGCAGAGAAATAAAGATACTAGACTGGCCCATCCAGTTGGCAAAGACAGGACCTTTAAAAACACGCACAGAACTTTTCCTTTATGTCCCTGGGGGGCAGGGAGCTCAGAGAGGCAGGTGGGTTGACCTCTGTCCACTCCAGGTTCCCCAGGCCCGTGGAGAGGTAGCCAATCCATCTCTGGCATGGATGGAGAATGCTGGAAATAATGGACTAGGGGAGGCTTGTGGGAACCAAGTGGCTGCCACAGGAGGGGGTTGTTTTTCCTGATTCCTGACCAGCCTTGGGGGCTGACCCAGGCGGGAGGGACAGGCCCAGGCCAGCCACAGCCAGGAGCTAATGGCAGGGGAGCCAGGTGGCAGGAGGCTGGGCCTGTCCACTATCCAGCCATACTGACCTTGAGCCTATCACATCCCTTGGGTGTGAGTGATGTGAGGGACACCCCGGGAAATCTTTTCTGCGCAACACCTTGCATGCTGCGTGCTGCTTGTCAGGTCTGCTTTTGGGGGCTGAAAGCCAAGGTTTCTCTTCATCTGGGCTGAGCCCAGGGGTTGAAACTGTAGCCCAAGGAACCAGTTGCCCCTTGGTCTGGTTTCTTTGGGGCTACGTTGTACTGAAAGACAAAATGTTAAAATGTGAACCAAACCACAGTGGGAAGGCTTGGGGGACAGGGTGAACAGAGGCAGGCCCAGGGTGGCCTCCTTAGGGAACCAAAATGATGTCAGCAAGGATGGGGGTGGGGGGAGGGGCCAGACGATGCACCCTGGGGGCTTGAGTTGGACAACTCAGGAGTGATCTGGGCATCAGAACCCAGGATGGCAGGTCTAAGCTAGCGGGCTGGGGCACTAAGGGAGTGACGCTGAGGCCAGGTCACTCTCGGGTCGGGCCATCCTTGGCCTCACCCACTTGGTGACAGGAGCACCCCCAGTTGTGCCAGCCACAGGTGTCTCCAGACATGGCCCAGTATCCCCTCAGGCCACAGTCTCCACTGGAGGACCCCTGGATCAACCCCTGTGCCTTCTGCCACCTGGACCCAGACAGGGTGGGGTGACGCCCAGGAAACCACTACGGAGACATTTTCTGTTAAAAGTCAGAAGTGTTTTGTCTTGTTTTAATATCAGCTTTACAGGGTTACAATTGTCTTAAATATTTCTGAAATTTAAATACAATCTGCATAATAATGTTATAAAATGTAAACTTTCAGTGTTCTTTTAAATTTCAAAATCACACCTCCCTCCCTTTTTTTTTGGTCTTTTGTCCCCCCCCTCCCCCCCCCTTAATACCTGAATGTTCTGCGAAACTGATATCCTTACCGGCTGCCCCACCGGCCAGGGTGACAGGCAAGGCCCGGCCAGAGGTAGAGTAGTTTATACCTTTTTTAAAAGTTATTTTCCTTTAACCTGAGTTCAGGCACGGTCCCCGCGCCATCGGACAAACCCCAGAGAAACTGAAATTTCACATGTCAGGAATGAAAGGCTGAATTCATTTGTGTTTGCCAAGAAAAAAAAATGCAAAAGCAAAATTAAGGGGAAGAAAAAAAAAATGATAGAAGTGGGCAAAAATCATAAAAGCAAAAAAAAGTGACTGTACAAATGCACAACTATTAAAAACTAGCTCAGCTGCCCCAAAGCCTCTGCTCTGCCCCTTGCACGACAGCTGGACAGTGCTGTGGCCAGTTTAGGGGTCACAACAAAGATTCTAGAAGCAGCTGTCACAAACATTTCTAAAGCAGGGGAAGCCCCTGACCCCTCTTGAGCCTGAGTTTTGGGGGGAGTCCCTGCCGGCGCCGTGCAGTTAAGCCCCGCCCATTCCAGAATGAACAGTGCACAAGCCGCTGACAGATGGCTGCCCCTTCCCCACCCCTGTTTGCATAAGGGGGTGCTGAGCTGCACCCTAGAACCCCTACCGACTGGGGGCTGCCCTGAGCTAGGAGTGGCAGAGAGTAAATGGGGACTCACTTGAGGCAGACAGAGGCTGCAACTCCGTCCCAGCCTGGGGCTCTCCCTCACCTTTCCACCCCTTTCCCCTGCCCACAGCGCTGTCTCCCCCGACACCCTACCATCACCCTGAACAGT